GCTAAAAGGGTGTCTGGGGGGAAATGAATTTTTAATTAAATAACCATTTATGGCCAGCCTACCGTATCAGACAGGTGTAGATCAGACTGAGTAGCATGGTGAAGGTCCAAGAGAGGGACTGAAAAGCAGGCGGCCCCACCTGAGAGCCAGAGGAGGGGAGCTCAGCATGCCCTCCAGGGCTGGGGAGACTGTCCAGGTGGGAGGTCTGCATCACAGAAGTTTTTATAGCCAACTGGAATGATAATTTGTCTTTCCTAAACCAAATTAAAACCAACCAGCTAATGATGTTGGAAGAACGTGTGTTATATCTCAGGCCAGTCACCGGGATCCATGGGAGTTGGCAAAACATCTTCTTTCTTTCTTTTTAAAAGAAAAACTGATTTTTATATGTAGTCTTTACGTACAAACACTTATCAGTTACTGTCAGTTACACCAGTTTTCTTAAGTCACAGGCATACTTAGGTTTAGATGTACCAAACACTGAATACTAGGAGCCCTCCACCATGAGTGGAATGTTCCTGAACCCACTCACCTGGAAGGCATTCGTGGCCCTGGGAGGCTACATCTCAGAAGGTCCCAGGTCGGTGTTCCCCTCTGTGAGGTGCAGGGGAGGGCTGCTGGGAGCGGAGCTGGAGGGCAGGTGGTCCACTCACATGTTCTCCACCTTAGTTACAACTGAGCAAGTGTCAGTTCCCTCCTAACGTTTCTATAATCAGATAGCCAGGCCTTTAAAAAGCCCTTAGAAAGTAAGCTCTCCAACACACAAACTTTCCGTCAAAGTGTGTGTTTGCCGAGGCTGAGATAGGTTGTAAAAGCAGGAGGTTCCCCAGTGCAGGCCCCACACAGCCTCGTTGGTACCCAGTCTCCATAGAGTGCGAGGCTTGATGTATTCCTTCATTTTGGAAAGTAGCCCTGTGACCCAGAGAAGTTGGCTTTTCCCTGTTCGGGTGTCCACGCCCCCATCTTGAGAATAAAAGGGCTGAATGAGGTCGGAGGTTGTGGCCTGGGAGACAGGTCTGGCCGCAGGTGAGTTTTGCTTGGCCCATGTCGCCTTTTAGAGGGCTTGAATTAATTGTTAGCATTTAAAACACCTGTCAGTCAGGGCTGCTTACATTACAAATAACAGGAAACTGACCTCAAGCTGGCTTTAAAAATGAAGGGATGTTCTGTTTTATCTAAGCTGAAGTCCAGAGAGGGCAGCGAGAAGGACAGCTGGAGGATGCCTTCTAGGGCCAGTCTCTTTTTATCTCTCTACCCCGGCCCTGCTGGCTCCATGTCACAGGGCTGCTGGAGGTCAGCGGAGCTCCAGGGCTTCCCCTCAGCATGCTCACAGGCCCCGGCTCACTCCCGCTTGACCTCAGAGGCCCCTGGCTCATCGCTGAGTGTTTGCCTGTGGCCGGGGACACGACTGTGCTGGCTGGTCTAAGCTGGCCAGGGCTACCCCATAAGTGGGGGCCTGATACTTTCCTCCAGAGGCATGGCTCTGTGGTGACACCCAAGCAGAAGTCTGGTAGAGTAGGGAAGGGGGAAAGGCAGTCACAACGCCTGTTCTCTGGGGGGCCACACACTGCCTCCAGTTCCCAAGGCCTTCACTGCTCTGTCTTGTGGGCAGCTTGTTCCACTCTTGTCATGACATGCTGAGCCCCCCTGTAGGCAGCTGGCTTCATGGCCTTGGGGGGCCCGTCTTGCTGAGTACATCTGTGAGGCCATGGGAGCTGGCCCTGCTGAGCAGGCTGACAGAGAATGCCTCGGTGTCATGCTTTTTTTTAAGTCTTAAGAAAAACAGGATAGAATGCCTCTGGCTAACTCAGCACAGCTACTGATATGTATAAGCGATCAGAAGTTCTGCCACTGACTGACCCCAGGACAATAGACAATAGACAAGACTCAATTCCACAGACATGTTCTGAGCACATTCTGTGGTGTGTCCTGCATTGTGCCAGGTACTGAGGAGACGGGTCAGGGGTCCCTGCTCTGGGGGCTCACAGCCTGACGAGGCAGATAAACCTAAAGGTGAAGGCCTCTGGTCTGGCAGGAACCACCCAGAGACAAGAGGTCAGGCCCAAGGGCACATAGAGGACCGTGAAAGGCTTCCCGAGACCCTTGAAATGTTTCTGGAGAGTAAGGGAACAAGGGATCAGGGAGCAAAGACAGGACCCAAAGCCTCATGGTGTGGCCAAGGGGCCCTGGGCAGTGGAGTGACCAGTTCAGATGGAGCTTTGGAAGGACGGCTCAGGAGGCGGCACACAGGTGGCAGCAGGATAGGTGGGCTCTGGCCCCACAAGTGACAAGGTTGAGGCCTGGGGTGGGTTTGAGAGGACGTAAGGGTGGGTTTGGGAGATCCTTCAGAGCAGAGTTTGCAGGCTTTCCTCGCTGGTGAATGAGGGCAGAGGAGAGGCAAGACCGGAGGAGCCGTGCCATTTGTGGCCTGGAGGAGCCATTCCCTGAGAGAAAAAGGCATGAGGGGCAGTTTGGGGATGGGACTCAATCTGGCAGCTGTGACAGTTGCGAGGCAGGCCTCTGTAAGTTTCACACGGAAATGGTGAGCAAGCAAGGGAGAGACTCTGGAGCTGAGTGGGTGAGCTTATCTGTCAGGTAATCACTGCCGTAGGGCAGGGAGGTTGGGAAAATGTTAAGGAAAATCATCTAGATCACCCAGAGAGAAGGCACCGGAAGTGCACAGTAGTAGCCTCAATGGCCTGAGGAGTCAGAGGGGAACAGAGGGGAGGGGAGGCTGACCCGGATCAGGAGGTGGAGAGTTGACTTTTCTGATAACTGACACTTTATTTAAATGTTTTATTGAAAAATATACAATGAATTTTCATGAAGTGAATACACATAACCAGTGGCTTATCAAGAAATAGAACATTGCCAGCTCCCAGAGGCTCCCTGTGCCCCACCCCGGGTACGGTCCCTGCTCAAATTCAAGACTGCATCAACTCTGACCCTGGCGATGCACTGTCTGGTCTGAACTTGGTGAGCAGTGGGCAGCCGCCTTTGCTCTGTGGGTTTGTGAGAAGTCCGTGTACAGCTGGTGGTGTCCACTTCCCAATCCAGGCTGTCATCCAGGCTGGTGTGTCTTCACACGCATGCTGCTTGTGGACACAGGTGGAGCTGCTGGGCCGCAGAGACATGGAAGGACGAGGGGTGTGCAGGCCAGTCACCCTGACCCCCAATGGCTTCAGGTTGCCATCCTTAGACGTTACCTCCTGCCCTGCTTCCGCACAGCAGACGTCAGTACTGACACATCTCTTCCCTGCTTTTCTCTCAGACCCAGTGGGCTAAGCAGCCAGGTGACACAGCTCGTTAATTGTGGTTAAACTCCTTTAAAGTTCAGTTGGGTCCCAGGGGCTCTGTGAACAGCTCCAGAATTTTTGCCCTGAGGTCAGTTTTAGGGGGCACGCCCAGACCGGAATGTGTCTGGTTTCCGGGTCCGGATAGGGAATTGAAGTGTAGCTTTCCTTAGGTGTCAGGACACCTGGGACAGGGCAGAAAGAAGGGGGTTTCAAGGAGGAATGGGACACCCAGGGCTGCAGGCACCCAGCAGGAGTTTGGCTTGGCCCCCAGTGCACTTCTCTGTGTGGGGACATACTGCCCTTCCTCTTGACCCCGGGGTCACAGGAGGCCTCTTCACCAGCACAGAGGCTGGCCCCCTGCTGGGTGCTCTGCTTATCGCGGGCACAAAGGGAATGAATCAACAGGGTATCCTAGCGTATTTTAAAAGTAACTCTTCAATTAATCCATCACCACGTAATGTAGAAGTTGCACCAGTGGCCATGCTGAAGTGGCTCCGTATGGCTGGGAGGAGGACCTCGCCCATGCAGCCATTTCCACCTCTGAAGCCCTCCGGGGTGTGCCTCCATCCCTGCATCCGAACCATGGTTCTGAGATCCAGCATAAAGAACACTCGCGGTGACCCAGGGCAGACACTGGAAGGGGCACTGGACGGACATCGGACCCGTTTGCATGCCTGCTGGCCCCGAGGCCATCTACCAAATGTCTCCTGGTTCTGATAAAGACACTGAGGTCCAGGGAGGACAGGCCTGAGGTCACAGCCCCGATGCCTCTGGCCATCCCAAGAAGCCTGGCCCAGGTGGCCACCTCCATCCATGACCTTTGAGTCCAGGGGCTGGCAGGGAAAGTCAGCGCTGAAGGGCTGCGCAGGCTGGGCTGCCGCCACAGGAGGCCTGGGGAGATCAGGGCAGCAGGGCCGGCGACGGGTCAGGTGGTGTTACACTGCCCTCTCCTGGGCGGCCCCAGAATTAGCTCCCCAAGCGACTTCTCTGGACAAAGGCAGATTTTCAGAACCTGCAAGCTTTTGGGATGAAGGCATGCAGGTTCACACTCACCTGACTGCTCTGCTATGCCTGGACTCACGTTTCGGAGCCTCCTACAAGCTCTCTGGCTTTAGCACCAGTCTGCAGGCACCAAACACCAGCGGGGTCGTATTCTTTCTTAACTGTTTTGTTGTGCCATCACTCAGGACTGGGCTGACACAAAACAAACCCAGTTGCTACAGTTTACACTTGAAAGATCATGGATGAGGAGAGCAAAGCCTGAGTTTTCTTGTCTGTTTCTCCGGTCGCTGTGCCCATCGAAGGGTTAACGGCAGTGTTTGGTTTGATGCAGTTGTTTTCTCCTGTAAAGGGAGCTCTGAGTTTTAGTGTTTAGGGACAGGCTGGCCCCCCTCCCCGTAAGCTCCTTGCTTTGCTGTCCTGTCTCTCGGGGTCCTCTGCAAGCACCGGTGCCACACGCCCAAGGTGGCCTTTTGTCACGTCCTTACACTTGTAAGGGTGCCTGACTGTCCTTTAGAACTTTCTGTTCTGGCGCTATTCTTTCCAGTCAACTTAGGATCTAGTCTCAACTGAAGTAAGACCATGGGGTACTTTTAAACCTGTGTCTTTAAACAGTCCCCTATGCTTTAGATGTCTTCACTTTCAGTCATACTAAAACTGTCCCCGATCTCACGAACTTTTCATAAACTTTATCTTTCTTCACAGAATGATGCCAACGGGACTGCAAAGCCGCCTTTTCTAAGGTACGTTTCATCTTCTACGTTACGCTCTTCGCTTGATGAGGCTGCCCTTCCCTGTTGTTTGAGTGGGCCTGAGGCGTCCCGTCTGGGACACAGCTGGAGCACCTGCCCTGCTGGCACTGCTGCCAGCATCCCTGTGGCCCCACAAAGGTCCTGAGCAAGTCCTGGGGCCCATGAGGTCCAACAAGAGCGCACCATGTTCCCACCACCGCCCTCCGAGAGTACCCGTTAGAGCAGGGCTGGGAGGGAGGGACGCCCCCCTCCCCCCCGTCCGCCTGGCCACATTGGTGACTTCATCCAGACCCTGTCCCAAAGCAGCTCCCCTAGAAACCACCACCCCCCTTCCAAGCAAACTGTGTTCAGAAGACGCTGTCGGGGACTTGTGCACAGTGGGGAGGCGGTCAGAGCAACCATTTGACAAAGCAAGAATAGCAGCTCTGTGCTTTTTTAAAACCGAATCTGTCTTGGAGTATTTCTGAAGACTTTTCCCTCCCCCCACAGTGGAGAAAACCCCTTTGCTACTGTGAAACTCCGACCGACAGTGACGAACGACCGGTCAGCTCCGATCATCCGGTGAAAAGGCGGCCGGAGCACCGGGCTCCTCCGTTACCCTCCCCTCCAGAAGATAGGTACACGTTGCCTCCCCGAGAAGGCGCTGCAGCCCTGTGACGCTCTACCTGAGGAAGCCTGATTTTAAATGCATTCTAATTGAGCAGATCGACGCATTTTCTCAGTTTCACACAGTTGGGTTTACACATTTGTCTTTAAGAAGATAAAATAGTTTCATGACCAACTCAATATTTAAAATCTTTTCTTCCTATTCTGTTCAGTGAATTTGGTTCCAATCCTTACTGTATCATTTTTTAACATTCTATGATTTTTTTTTTAATGTCAGCCAGAATAAGGGCTAGTCTATGCTTGACTGGTTTTATGTACCCAAATGCAGATGAAACCATAGCATTCTTTATTTTATTAATAAGCACATGCTCTGAAGTAGCATTATGATATTTATCTAAAGAAAAATACTGTGCAAGTTTGCATCTTAGCATGCAAATCGTAATCTTAAGCAATATAAATTATGAAGATATGTAAAATTTAAAAATTTTTTAACTTAATTTTAAATTTTTGTTTAATCAAATATAGAGCTACCCAAGATGGAGAACTCCCAAACTTTCCTGCGACTTAGACGTAGCTGAGACATTCTGCCTAGCCTATTTAGTGCTTATCATTTCCAAGACCTAGGACTCGCCAGCTGGGTTTACTAGTAAGAAGCATACACCACCCCGAACCTCGGCTGCACATCGGGGCTGGTGCATGCCGGGTGCACTTGCTGAGCTAGGAGGTTCCATGTCTAGGCCGAGATACTACACACTCGGCACCTGTGCTGCTGTACTGGTGGCACGGGTGCCCAAGAGGTGGCTGCCTTCTGCTCTGGCTGGTGGCCTGTGAGAAGGGGCCCACTAGTGGGAAGGAGTTTGCTAGCCCCATTCTGAATGAGTGGAGAATTGTGATTAAAATTCACACCCCGGCCACTCACTGGAGGGAAGCAGTAAGTGCCGCCTGCCTGTTGCTCACCACAGTTCCTTTGGTCTGCCGTAACCACAGTTTTTCCTATAAGCTTAAAATTGGTCAAGGTCAAATGCAGCAGTGTATAAGCTTGTGACACTTCAGGCGGCTGGTCTCCGACTCCTGCTGGGTTGAGCAGCGTCACAGGCTGTCTCTCCTGGGAGGACAAACCAGGCAATCCCACCGAGGGCTGATGACGCGGGGTTGTTATTAACACAACCCCAGGCCACACGGGAGCACTGGTGCTGGGTGTCCCAGCCAGGAAAGCAAACTTGGTCAGGTCTCCTCCCACCGCTTAGTCAGGTTCACAGAAGCATCTGCTCCTGACCGTGGAACAGGATGAGGTGTAGGTCCTGGAAGTGTATTAAGAAGGGAGAACTGCTGGGGGCCTTTAGAGTTCCACTTTTTACAATCTTCTAGCTTTGTTACAGGTATCTGAGAATAAGTCCTAGGATAATTAGATTGAACTTGCAGACCCACTGGGCTCACCCGAACCCCGTTTTGCCTTCACAAAATGGAACTCCCCGGGCGCCTGCCTGCCACAGAGGCCGGGAGGGTATATCTTTAGGTCCTTGGCACTGAGGTGCACCCTCTGTAAATGTCAAGGTGTTATGTTTAATTACAGTAATAAAAGACAACTTGAAAACAAGTACACTTTCTCAAGCTGTCAGTGAGGAATCTTCCGTCACCCGTGGCCAGGCCTGAGACCATGAGGGTGGGCGGGAGGTACAAAGAGAAGTCTCAGCAGCAGGCCGAGCTCCCCGGGGTGAGTCCCTGAAAGGCATGCAGTGTGGCCAACAAGGGTTTACATCACGTCCAAGATACTATCTCCCCCTTTTGATACTTCTGATACTTCCCAAAAGTTATGAGATGGAGCAGCTTTGGGCAACGCCAGCTTAACGTGAGGCTTGTGACTGGCCTTTTCTACACCCCCATATGTTGACGTGCCTTGTGAGTGTCCATGGTGTCCAACCTCTCAACTCCTGTCATTGACACGTCCCAGAGAACCCACACTGGGAGACATGGTTCTTTATGTGGTTCACAGAAAAAGTGTGTTGCCCACATGTTTAGGGCACTACGGTAAGAAAAAAAAAAATTTTGAGACTGAATTGAATATAAATGTTCCTCCAGAAAACAACTTTTCTACTAAAGCAGCAAAGCTTTATTTTTTTAAATTGATAATTCAATTGAGTGGAGAAGACAAAGATCCAGATCGGCCAAGAGTTGTGTGATGTTGAAGCAGGCAATGGTTCCATTACTCCAATCCCCCTGCTTCCGTAGATGTTTGGAATTTTCCATAACAGGCTTTTTCTTTAGACAAGCGGCAGTGTGCAAACACGGAGCAAGCAGAACCAGGTAAACCAATGGTACGAATTTGATTTATTAAAACAGTATTCCTCACCTTCCTCAAAATGAAGACTGCAAAAAATAGAAGCAGTGCTTTATTGAGTTGCCATCACCCTGGGTTTCCAGATCTGATCCCCAGGCCCGGGACCCCAGCACCCATCCCACCTCGCTTTACAAAACAGTCCTGAAGCTTCGTCGGATAAAGCTATTATACACGACATTTACATTAGAAAAAGATAACATGTAGGAAAGCCTGGTGTGTTCCCTTTACGAAAAGGATGCTCCACAGTTGGGGCATCTTCGCTTCCTCAAGGCAAAACAGCAGATGAACCCGAAGGGAAACAAGATGATGGCCAAGAAGATGCCCAGGAAGGTGAAGGAGTCCTCCAAAACCCCGACTCTGTAGAGAGAGAGAGGGGATGAGGGCCATGCTGGAGACCAGGGCCTGGCCGGAGGTCCCGGCTCGCTGACCCAGACTCCCCCTGCCCGACCAGGGAGGTCCCTGCTTGACCCACCTCACATGCAGGGAGCATACGGACAGACAGTTGTGATTACAGACACCTGGAGATTTACAGGGCAACGCAGTCGGCACCCCTCCCTCAGAACAAACCCCGGCGGCCTGACTGCGAGCGCCAGGTTCTCAGTGAACAGCAGCCTGCAGCTATTAGTTCTACATACAAAATTGGAACAAAAAGAGGGAAGGAGAGAAATCACTTATAAAGGCAAGAACAGGTCAGCTGCCATCTAATTTGCCACACGTTTCTCTCCCTGTACTAAGGCGCGGTCAGGAAGAACAAGCAGCCAGTGCTGGTTCCTACAGAAATTCTTGCATCTCAGAAAAAACCAAGACCAGAACACCAAATCATGTTAGGGTGGTTTTTTCAATGTTTTCACATGGTTTCAATGGTTTCACATTCAAAAAAGGAGAAAAAAAGGTTTTAGATTTCTTTTTCCATTCCCTAGATGGAAATTTAAAGAGTGATAAAGCAGGGTTTAGGATTTTGTTTGGTTTTTAAATTTTAATAAAAACTAAAATTTTAGTAAAAACCAACCGTGTTCATACAATACCTAGAAGGCCATTTATCTTGAGAAATTTAATCTCAAAGCATCTTCCCCCCACAAAACACTCAGGTTTACCTCCAATGCGCATCATATGTAATATCTAAGTCACCCAAATCATGCACCAGTGAGCAGAAGTTCAGTGGAATGAGGTCACCTCTTGGATTCCCCGGGGGAAGCAGGAGCCGGCACAGTGCTGCCGCTCCTCAGGCCACTTCTGTGAGGCTCTGGACACAGGGCTCAGAGTAAACCGCACAGTGAGGGCCAGCCCAGATGGAAGTGCTCCACCCCACCCGTCAGACTCAACCAGAGAGCCCGCAGGCCGACACACACACTTCACCAGGACAGCCAGCTCCCTGCCCTTGTGGCTCGGGTTCGTCAGCAGGACGTGAGAAACCTGCCGTATCACAAACTGGAGAGAGTTTGAAGGAAACAGAGGAACAGCCAGGAACGAGAATAGGGGGTGGAGTCAGGGAGGGTCTCTCCAGGTGACATCTGAGGTGGCCCTGTGCAGGAAGGGCTCAGCCGGCAGCTGAGGCTCACACAGGATCAACCTGGGATCAACCTAAGGGCAACAGGAAGGGGCGTTAGCACAAGGGCTCCAGCCAATCCACTTCCAGCTGTTTTAACTATGAAAAGCTTTTCTCCAGCTTACCTGGGCATTGCTGAGGGAGAAATGTTACACTGGCCGCCAGAGGGCTCCGCTCACACCCCCAGCGCACACACAAATGCTCACACGCACACACAAGCACTCCATCCCAGCATCCTCCTGAAGCCACTTCACAGAATCCTCTCCTCAGCCCTCAACGGCCAGAGGAAGCCACTCCTGCTCCTGGGCTTGCCAGGCTTGCTGGGCTTGCCGCCTCGTGCACAGAGAGGGAACGTTCCCAATCAGTGAACAAAGGAGCAAACAGTAACCATGTGTTCATCGACAGATGAATGGAACAAAACGTAGGGTGTATATAATGGAATATTATTCAGCTATGAAAAGAAATGAAGTTCTAATACATGCTAGAATATAGATAAACCTTGAAAACATGCTAAGTGAAACAAGCCAGACACAAAAGGACAAATACTGTATTATTCCACTTATATGAAATACCTCAAATAGGAAAATTCAGAGACAGAAAGTAGATTAGATGTTCCCAGGGGCTGGAGGGAGCACAGAATTGGGAGTCATTGCTTAATGGGTAGAGTTTCTGTTTGAGGTGATAAAAATTTTTTGGAAATAGTGATGTTGCACATTGTGAACATAATTAATGTCACTAAATTTTACACTTAAAAATAGCAAAATGGCAAATTTTGTGTTATGTATACAATCAAAAAAAAAAAAAAAAACATACGTAAAGATGACACATGAGAGCATAGAGGGCATCCCCAAACTCCAGATCCCAGAAACACTGCTGCTGGCGGTCCTTTCTCAGGAAGTTGCGTCCCTGCCTCAGGGCAGGATGGATGTTACTGTCCCCTCCTACCAGTGGTCAAGGCTGGTTCCCCTGAAGCTGGGCACGGCACATGGCAGAACTGCTGGGCAGAGCCCCGGGCTCCAGCCAGAGCCCAAGGCCCCACACAGCCCAGCCACCTCCTGCCTCACAAAGGGACCTGGGCCTGCTCCCCTGGGATCAGGAAAAAACCAACTAGGATACTCTCAGGGGAATTCTAGTTTTCAGCTGCTTTCAAAAAAAAGTCAAACTCAAGGCTCACCTACCTACTCACCCCACCACTCATGAGGGAGTTCCCTAAAACAAATAGTGATAAAATGGGTGATGGTAAATTCTAGCTGCACTTCCCAAGGTGTTGTCTTGAAATCCTCGTCCTCTGATAAGCTCTGCAGAAAAGACGTGGAGGATTCTTTGGTCACTTGGGAAACTGTTCTCTCTCCCTCCTGGAGAGTCACAGTGGACATTAGTGTGTTAAAGGCTCTCAGAAGTCCTGCAGCAAAGACACCTGCTGAACTCTGTTCCACCCTGTGTTTCCCGAACTTGCCTAATGACACCCTTTTTGTGTCTATGCATCTTAACTAGACAGGGAGCCCACAGGGGAAGCACTGTTCCCAGGTAAAGCTAAGTCGTTCTGTTGTCAGGTGCCACTGAGCCAATTACAACTCACAGCGACCCTACAGGACAGAGGAGAACTGCCATAGGGTTTCCTAGGCTGTAATCTTTAAGGAAGCAGATTGCCAAGTCTTTCTCCCACGGAGCTGCTGGTGGGTTCAAACCACTGACCTCTCAGTTAGCAGCCAAGCACTTAACCATTGCCCCACCAGGGCTCCTGAAAACTAAGTAGTGGACCTGATCTTGTATCAGCAAAGGAAGTTATCCTTTCTTGTCTGGACTATTTCGAGAGTCTTGTAACAGGTGTCAGATGCCATGGTGTCACCAAGGTGTTTCTCAGCCCTCACCTTCCCAGGCTGCCCCACCCATGAGAGTCCAGGCCCTGTAGGACGCCCCCACCCAGCCGTGCCGAGCACCCCGCCCCAGCACCCTCTCAACCCCACATGTAAGGTGGGCATGAAACCCAGCTGAAAAAGCACCCAGGCCATGGTGCCAGGGAAGGGGCTTCAGGAAGGCCCTGAACCTCCAGCTGTGT